CGCTGCGCTGCATTGTGCTATTTTTGTATGTATCTGGGTGTGCATTGCTTGTTGATGCTGCATTGTCCATTCGAGTCCTTTTCATCACTCTGTGGATCTTTTGGCTCCATATACATCGCTCAATCGAGCATGTATCAATCTATCTGACCAGAGTTCTACAGTTATTCATTCAAGATTAGGGTGTGCTGCTTAGCTCAGTTCGTACACCCACAAACTGTCGAAGTGCACATATGGAAGACCCCCAGTTCGAATCCAGATGCAACCAGATGAACGGAACAAAACAGTTCTGAATTACTTGGGGCAGGCCAATTCAATGTCGATATCTCAAGGCTGTAGCCCTTTTTCGGGGATAAAATAAAGAAAAAAAGATTAGGGTCTGCCGTGGCAGATGGACACAAACATAAGAGCCACGTGGGGACAACACCCAGGTAGGCACGGCAACCAGATTGACGCAACGTATGTATGCCCAATAGCTAGATAAGCATAACAGCCAGGCAGGCACGATTGTCAGGTAGACACAACATGTCAATAGCTAGGTAGGCAGGTATAGGAGTCATGTAAGCAAAGGAGCTAGATAGGCAGGCAGAACACGCAGGAAGCAATACATAATTCATGACATGGACAACAAGCGAATCACAAATCACAGCGCAGAGACGCACATGCACTTAACGAAGTCACACGTACGTCACAAGTTGCTGAAATAGAGTTAAACCACCAGTCCAAACGCCTCATTAAAGAATCTGCACTGTAGATTTTACTCGTGTACGAGTTCCGGGCCAAAATCTACAGTGCGGAGGCCTGGAAGAGGTTCGGTGGGAAAGGGCTACCACCTTCATTTTTCCACAGGCCTGCACTGTAGATTTTTAGGCTCGAGAAAATGCATTTTCTGGTGGGTTTAAAGCAGTGATAGTCACCCGTGGCCAGGAGCCCGTAGCAACATCGTTCGGCCCAGTACAGGCAGGGGGTCATGACAACCAGGAGCTAGGAGCTAGGAGCTAGGTAGCTAGGGGTAGGCATACGCGATAGCTGGATCGTTACACAAACAGGTCTAGGAGTCATCTTGACTCAGGAGCTCGGTAGAGGTTCGGCGGGAAAGGGCTACCACCTTCATTTTTCCACAGGCCTGCACTGTAGATTTTTAGGCTCGGCAAAATGCATTTTCTGGTGGGTTTAAAGCAGTGATAGTCACCCGTGGCCAGGTCCCCGTAGCAACATCGTTCGGCCCAGTACAGGCAGGGGGTCATGACAACCAGGAGCTACGAGCTAGGTAGCTAGGGGTAGGCATACGTGATAGCCGGATCGTTACGCAAACAGGTCTAGGAGTCATCTTGACTCAGGAGCTTGGTAGGCATGCGCAATAGCCAGGTGAGTGTAACAGCCAGGTGGAGACAATTTTTAGGTAGGCGCAAAGAGTCATCTAGGCGCAAGGGTATTTGATTTTTGGATTGTGAAGATTGCGAAATTGCAAATTCTTTTAATTTCCGACAGCAAGTGTGTAGCCCTTGAACCACAAGACCGCCCGAGCTTGGCTGACTCGCACTGCAGGCCAAGCTTTAGCCAACCGCCAACAGCACACTTTTTCCCTTTTTTGGCCGGTGCCGTCAGCCATTGTGTTCTGGTAGCCACAAGCCTTAGCAATTCTAAGAGTTGGCCATTCCTTCTCTCAAGTTGCCTGGGGACGTCTACTCGCGGCGTAAGAAGATTTAACATCCAGGCAAGAAAAATCCTCCTTAAAGAACGATCAGGGACGGGGTTCCTGCGAGTCCCACAGGGCCTAACAAATCAGTACAACTCTTATCCAATGTTTCACTAGCGTATTCACCTGAATAGAGTGGCCAGTCATTATTGCTGCATCTGGACTGAAAGTCGCCTGAAATACAGCTATAATGGCGGGGTGTTCTATTTGCAGCTGAACACAGGTCGGCATCTGCCCCTCAGTACGATGCCAGGTTATCTGATTAGTATTCTTTGTGGGCGATATGATCACTGTGTCTGCTATTCGGGAGGGGAGAGTAACTCCGTGCCCAATTCGGGAGGGGAAAGCATAGGCCGGTAGGTGATCTGATTTTTATTTCTGAGTGCTGTTATGATCACTCTTTGTTGCTTGGGAGGAGAGAGCGTGTACGCCGTACGAGTGGGCCTAGAACTGTCTGCATGGTCACAAGGGCATCAATATGCAGTAAACAACACATAGGGGAACAGGGTTATGTGCTGCAGGGCCCCCTCCACGTAGGGGAACAGGGGTATGGGTTGCTGGGCCCCAGACTGCACTGGCTGCTTCCCTGCCTCCGAATGGTCGATCGAAAAGGATGCCTCTTCGTTGACGGAATGCGAATTATTTTCTGATGATTCTATGTTTTCACGCTAATGAGCTGAGCACGTTCGGTCAGTCCGTAATTGAAAAGGATGCCTCTTCGATTATGGAATGAAAAGTATTTTCTGCTGATGATTCTATGTTCTCGTGGATTGACGGCGAAAAATACCCAGTGGGCTCAGCAGTCAGTTGAGTAGTTGCAGTCTGAGCCAGAGAAACAGACAGCAGCAGTTTGAAGATTGATAGAAAAGTGAAAAGTAGGGGGAGAAGATGGAAGACAAAGTTCTGATACCAACGTAGGACGTCCAGCTTCCGTTTTCATTTGCATCCACTTCTCACTGTTTATTTGACAAGTTGAAGATCAATCACGGTTGATAACGGACCCGAAGTTAAACACGGGGCCAATTTGTAGAGGTTTGCCCACTATGGACACTGTGGACGAACTGGTTGGTTCTAGTTGACGACAAGAACCGGGTTCTATTCTCGCACCAACCTCCCCCTCGCATTCCCCCTAATCCCCCCTCCCCCCCCCCAGTTGCAGCGTACATCGAGTGTGTTGGAGATTGAGGGATGCATGGCAGTATATCCATAGTGGTGGTTCAAGCATTTGCACATTGGTGGTGCAGTCGAAATACACCAGTGTGGTGGTTCAAAGGTCTGCTCGCATTGGTGGTTCCACCAGTGTAGTGGGGGTTCTGCTCGCATTGACAGTGTGTAGGCCCATTACCACCAGTACCCCCGAGCCTCTCTCTTTCCTGACGCTGGATTTTGCACCCCCCCGGGTCACCGAACTGTTGCAAAGTCGTGGGATGACTGGAGACTGCCTGCCTTTTGGGTCGACGAGGTTGAGCCGGAATGCAGCCCTGCGTGAACTGGTGTGGCGCAGGGACCAGGCCCCCACATACTGGGGATCTAACTTGGGTCTGAGACATCGTGGGTAGGTAGGCCCCCGTAGGCTCAACAAACTGGGCTTGCCATATGCTGGCAACACAGGTAGTTTTCCTGTGGTGAAAGGTAATAGATGGTTTTCCTGTGGTGAAAGGTAATAGGTGGTTTTCCTGTGGTGAAAGGTAAGCTGCAATGCGTGCATTCGTTAAATTTGGAAGGCTACAAAGAAGGTTGGAGTAGACCACCCTCTACAAGGATGATGCATGCTCTTGCGGGCGGGCAGATACGTGAATAGGAAAAAGCTGCTGTTGCAGGTAGCCGAATAGAACAGAACTGTTGTGACATATAATTGAATAGAACTAAACTGATGTCCCAGGTAGCGGAATATGTCCCAGGTAGCCGGATAGAACAAAAGTGTTGGGAGTCTTGGGATTAGAAGAGTGAATTGAACAAAACTGGTGTAGCAAAACTGCTCTTGCAGGTAGCCGAATAGAACAAAACTTTTCCCCTTCCGTGCTAGGGGTTAGGCTCAACCCTGAGGGGATAGACTCAGCCCATGCTAGTGAACTTGATAGACCTGGAATGTTGGTCCTGTTGGGTAGATAGTACGGGGTATGTAGGTGGTGAATGTGAGGTGGAAAATATGGAGAGACAAAAATTGCGTAGTAAAAATACAGCTGTCCCCCATATATGAGGAGAAGAATTAGAAGACAGCTTTTTTTTCAAAAACAAAAAAACGACAACAGCAACTTATGTGACAGATACAAGAATAGAACAAAACTGATGTGGCAGATAGGTGATTAGGAGAAAACTGTTGTAGCAGTGGTGCAAGGACGACGTGAACTGTTGTGGCAAATAGGCGAACAGAACAAAAGTGATGTCGCATGTAGTGGAATGGAACAAAACTTTTGTGACAGATAAGTGAATAGAACAAAAAGATTGTCACAGATAAGTGTATAGAACAAAATGCCTGTCGCAGGCAGGCGGCCAGGACAAAACTGGTGTAGCAAAACTGCTGCCGCACGTAGCTGAATAGAATACAAAACTATAATACTGTCACAAGTAGCCGAATAGACCAAAACTGCTGCAACAGATTAGCGAACCGCCAAGCTGAAGAGTACCAGACTCTCACATGAGTGGCATATGTCCTCATAACGCACTAAGCAACACCCAAGTGCGACCGGTCCCAGTGCCGAATGGGGAGAGAGAGAGAGAGAGAGAGAGAGAGAGAGAGAGAGAGAGAGAGAGAGAGAGAAGGAAGGAGGGTTGGGGCAACTGGGGAGGGTGGAAGAGGAGATCAGCTTGCTGGTCATCCAGCCAGACACACAACCAGGAAGGTGCTAGGAAACCCCTCAGGAGCAACTCAAATTACCTGCATCATGAACTCTCTCAGCCAGCGTGCGTGTAGCTGAATAGAAAACAAAACTGTAACTATTGTCACAGGTAGACGAATAGACCAAAACCGGTGCGACATTCTTGCCTTCAACAATCAATACAACAACAACAATAGCAGCTCCCTAGTTTGGTCGAGTCTCTCTTCCAGCAAGTACGACCTCTTACTCTATCGTCTACCCTTAGCCCCTACACTACTGCTACTCCCTAGTACAGTCCCGCAGAGTTCTGTGCTGCTCCCACCAATTCTTGCTCGGAGAACATGTTGTGCTGGAGCTCATCTTGGCGTCCACCAGGTACGGCCCGTCCCTTGCCGGGGCCGGATGTGGAAACAGGGGGAACATTCAGCTAGAAAGTATCCGTAATCAAACTTGGTCGATGTTGCTCTGTTGTCTCCGTGGTGCAGATTTCAGCGTCAGAAGGGTTCTTGCAAGTTTTGCGAGCATATTTAGAATCTCTGTGTGCCGACCTGCCAGCTCATGCCATCACAGACGTGCAGTCATCAGAACGAGTGAGTTCTCTTGAACCATCTCATACAAAAAGTAAAAAAAAATTAAAAAATGAAGGTGCTGTCTATTGGCATCCATTGGGTATAAACGGGGCTCAAACGGGGTTAAAGGGGTTTAACGGGGATTTGAAGGGGCTCAAAGGGGTGCTTTCCATTCCCATTCATGGGGTATAAATGTGGTTTAACGGTGGTTAAAGCCTTCAAGGGGATCAAAGAGGTGCTGCCCATTCACATTCATGGGAAAAGAGTTGTGTTTCATCAACTTTCATGGCTAGCTCAAAGGCTTGCCCTTTAACCCCCTTTCATTCACGTCAAAGGCGTGCTTTCCATTCTTGGGTTTCCTTTCCTGATTTACTCTCCACATTTGCATGGCGGTGAGGGCGAAAAAAGCAAAAAAGAAAAAACGCATTGTAAAAAAAGGGAATCTCCAACCGAGTCCCTTACAACGTTGGGTTGTATGTACCGATCCGGATGCATGGATCAGTTTCTTGTCATGATCTGCACCAGGTTCAGGCCCCCAGATCCAGATGCATGGATCAGTTTGTTGTCCAGATCCGCACCTGGTTCACCCCTTCCTCTCTGATCCTGTGTGTGCCTCTGCTGAAGTCAAGGGAAAATAAAGTTTTTGAACTTTTTTTCTCTGGGCTACCAGACCTGCCTGGGCCCGGGCAACTGGAGTCCACCTGCCCAGGTCAAAGGTGAAAAAGGCGGGCCATTTTTTCCCTTTTTTGTTGGGCTGTATTACGCCCACCAAGATGCGTTGGAATCCAGTTTCTTTTTGGGGGGCGCGTCTGGAGTATGGTTAGGGTGGACTGGGGAGCTCTCTCTCTCTCTCTCTCTCTCTCTCTCTCTCTCTCTCTCTCTCTCTCTCTCTCTCTCTCTCTCTCTCTCTCTCTCTCTCTCTCTCTNGCCCCCCCGATAAGAAGAAAAAGAAGAGGCAGGGGCAGGTACCTCCTTTGGTGGGCAGCTCAGTAAGGGAGCACAGAGATGGCGAAGACAATGCCAACAATGGGGAGGCACACCTGGCAAAGTTGAGGCCCAGGCCAGGGCCTGTTTTTGGCACCGATCGCTGAGAACTGCGCCTGACGCTTTTAATATTTTATTACAGACATGAAGGGAAACGGAAAAAGAAGATTAACAAATGCCGGCCATTCTGCTTTTGTTACCGAATATCGGCCAAGTGTACTCTCTTAAATTGCTCCCATTCTTTGTCCGTCATCATATACTTGGGAGGAGACTCTGTCTTGCCTTCGTGTGACAGTTCTGTTTTTTTTTTTTTCTTTTTCTTTTTTTGCTATGCGTTTTTGAAAATTCAAGATTCTACCAGTTCTGGGATTCTAAAAGTTCCCCTGTTTTTGCGGCTGCTGAGTTGTTGGGAATTCCTTTGTGGTGGTCCCCACAGGTCTCTCTCCTATTGAAAGAAAGTTTTATCGATTCCTTCTCGTATCATCACCGTCCATTCATCAAGGTAAGATGGCTTTCCCTTAAATCTGTGATTCAAAGAAATAGTTTTGCTGAATTAAATTGCTCTGCGAAATTCATGAAAGATGACTCTGAAAATTGAAAGCCAACTTTTTTTGTTTGTTTGTTTGACTCCGGACGTGGGGATAAGGCTCCTGAATTGCTTACGCACTTGGGCCATAGTAGGTAGTAGGACCTGATCAGTACTTTCTAGTTTCGGGCCCATGCGTGCAAGCACAGAATCGAACCGGCACCCTAAAGCCCCAACAGCCAGGACTCTTAACCACTGCAACCATGACACGGTGTTCAATAGTGGAACCATAGCGGTCGTCATGTCCACCCCATCCCTGCATGGGATGCGTCTCCTGACTTACTTGCACACTTCGGCCATAGTAGGTACCGATTAGTACTTTCTAGTTGGGCCCACCCGTGCAAGCACGGAGTTGAACCGGCACCCTTAGCCACAAGAGCCAGGACTCTTAAAGCACCAGTACACGGCTACCTGGGCCGTGAGCCTGACTCCTCGAATTCCGGAAGCGCGGAACGAAACAGAGACTGCCGATCCAAAGCGTTTGACGTTTCGGCCATTGTACTAAATGTGGCGACAAGTTTCGGACGGACTACAAGGCAGGGGCCGTGTACTAGCGGTTTAACCACTCTAGCCACGACACGGTGTTCAAAGGGGGAACCATACGGGTTGTGATACCCACCCCCACCCTGCGTGGTTGTCGTGTCCTACCCAACACTCACACTAGCACTGTTCTAAATGTATCTGACTGCAATTACGACCAGACCTGGATGCATCTGACTGTAATCACGCCCAGAGTGCACTTGGGCCAATTTGAAATCCAAAAAAACCGTAGTGTTTGGGTGTTGTCTTGGTTCTCTGGGGTTCAATACTTGCGGTACTTAGTGCTGCCTCCTTTTTTATTAACCAGGAAAAAAAAAAGAAACAAAGGTGGTATGGTCTCCTTCACTGCAGAGGGCGGGCCCGGGGGAATGACTGTCTGCTTTTCTTTTTTTCACTTTTTCAAACGGAAAGAAAAGAAAAGAGTTAAAAAAAAAAAAAGAAAGAGTTTATTGTTGGTTTATTAATTTTTAGTGCTGAAAATTAGTAGTAAAAACTGAATGCCAGCACTGATGTTCAAACTATTTGTGGTGTATGTTTTGTAAAGACAAAAATTCGAAAATTTAATTAATAATTTAATGATAAATTAGTAATGCTAATTCGATCTCTCCAAATTTGATATCCCTTACAAACCCTTGCTTTTGGCTTGCCTTGGTTCTCCTGCTTCAGAAGGCAAAGAGGAAGATACAAAGAAAAAGCTATCGGGAAGGAAAAAGCGTTCAGGCAGAACACCCTGTTGAAAATTTTCAAACATTTGTGCATACAATCTGTCATGTGCGCATTTTCAAAATTCATCTGGCCTATTTTACAATCCAGATACATGTCAAATGTTGAGTCGCAGAGTGAGGCCTGGTACCTCTACCTTTCCACATCCTGGGTTGCGAATTCCAGAGATATGGAAATGTGGAGATACGGGGGTGATGAACAAACGGAAGAGGAAGCTGAGGAAGAATGTGCAGAAGACGCTGATGAAGATGGGGGGGGGGGGGGAAGACGGAGGAGGGTAACAAATGAAGGATGGAAAGAAAGACGATGACGAAGGCCATGCGGAAGATGACAAAGATGAAGCATGATGAGGAAGACAATGACGAAGAAAATGAGGGCGATGGTGATGACGAGGAGCAGGAGGAAGGTTTGGAAGTAGAAGATGATGGCGAAGAAGACAATGAAGAAGAAGGTGAAGAAGAAAGAAGAGGATAATAAATAAAGGACGGAGAAAAAGAAGACTAGGAAGAGGAAGATGAAGCATGAGGAGGAGGGCAATGACATAGACATTGAGGGAGATGGTGAGGAGGAGGAGGAAGGTGTGGGAGTAGGAGGTGATGACGAAGAAGGCGATGAAGAAGAAGGAGGAGGAGGAGGAGGAGAAGAAAAGACCGTGGGAGGAATGTAATCATACAAACACACGTGCCCTCTTTGATTGTAACTGTCTCTGGACTTTCTGTCCATGCCTTCTGCTTATGCATTTAAGATCTCTGTGTGTGGCTTTGTCGCAAGCTGTACATTTTTTTTTTTTTTTTTTGGACCGTTTCTCTGTTTATGTGTGTTATCCTTGCGCAGGGGCCATGTTTATCTTCTGTGTATCATTCCAATTTTCACGGATGTCCCGGAGGATGCTGTACTGTTTTTCAATGGTGGGGCACTAAGCTCAAATTTGAGAACACAGCATTCATATGCTCACATGGTCTGGTTCTTTTCTCTTTTCGTTTATCACGTGGCGCAATGGCAGCTTTTTGTTGAAACGCAGCTCTTTGCCGTCTACACGGACGCTGTGTTGTCCAGCTGGCATGGTTGAGCTGAATGGCGGACAGTGTGTCGATGTTCGTCCCCAAGACGACACCCTCCTGCTCCCCCATAGAATGTGTTTGTGGCATGGTTCGGATTCGAGCTTGTACTGGTCCTATGCTGTCTACTGCTGGTTGCTCCCACACAGAAGAAATATAGATGGGCCCGAGTGGATCGCCGCCGAGGTATGGGGTTCCATTACGCCGTCTGCCAAGATAGCCCCTCTAAAGCTTTCCTTGCTCTCTGGTTCCGAAGGTGAATATGCTCTCTTTTCCCGCTCGGACATGTTACTCCTGCGGGCGTGAACATGAATTTGGCTTACGAAAGTGGAATTGCTTGAAGAACACGCTGCGATTGTGCGATTGCGAAACGACTTGCCGGGACCTCTGCTTTGGGTGGCAGCCTCACTCCGAGGCGGAAATCCAACGACATGAAGATGGAGATGAAGAAGCATGGAAGGGGTCTTCAACAGGGGGCCCCGGAGCGGCGGAGCCCCAAGAACTTGGTCGAACTTGGCCCATTTATTTTTCGAGTTGGAAGTCCCCGACGATGTGAAGCTCCAGATGAACTTGTTGAAGCTTGGAAGGACTTGCACGGAGGGGGGTCGGAGCCCAAAGAACTTAGCCTATTTCCCAAAATGCAGGAGCTGCTTAACTATAGGAAACGTCAAGCATCGCTGAGGCATCATGCATGTTACTTTTTGAAATTTGTTTGTTGTGGTTCCCAGTTGCGCTCATCCCTGTACGCTGCTCGACCATGGGCGAGGAGGACTCCAAATGGAAGGCTGCAGACGGCGACAGCGAACCGAGGCTTGTCCTTGTCTTGAGGAGCACGAGCCGTGCACTTTGCGACACCTGGCTGTTTGCGACACCGGGCTGTCTGTTGCAGAGAGCTTCCTTCCTTGGAGTTCCTTGTTCCTTCAACTTTTGGCCTTGGGGTTTCAGAGGAGTCTCGGCTGGAAGATTCGCGGTACCGTTTCAGAAGTTGAGCATTTGTGCAGTTTACATATGCATATGGGGCTCTGCAAGGTTAGCGATTTGAGATGCTGGAGGCGTGTGCACAGTTTGTGATGCCGAAGTTCGGTAAGGCATTCGAACAAGGTTCACTTTGAAATTCCCGGTTCTTGCCAATTGATTGCGCTCTAAACCATTACGACATCTGGGCCTACTCTGCCAAACCTAACAAGGTCCGGTGCCAAACCGGTTTTGTAGCTGTCCAAAAGAGGTGGAAATCTGGGCCTAATGTAGTAGTGGCTACCTTTGGAAAAAAGAATCCCGTCCTATGAAGCAGTGGCATAAGAAGTTCACCTTCCCAGTTATCACCATGGAGTGCACTCTGGACCTACCGTCGTCACCCAAATAGAACGCCCGGTCATTATAGCTGTATTTGGCACAACTTTCAGCCCAGATACGGCGATAATTACCGGGCGTTCTATTCGGGTGAAGACAGTAGTCTGCCGAACCTAACAAGGTCTGGTACCGAACCGGTTTCTAGCCATGCGAAAGAGGCGGAAATGTGGGCCTAACGTAGTCGCTAACTTAGGAAATGGAGGGCCGTCGTATGAAGCGGTGGTATAGGAGTACCGAAACCTCGAAGGAACTGGAAATTCTGCAACTGGGGTTGGCTATTCCACTGCGTACTCCCAGCAGACATTTGCAGTCAGACAGATCGCTTCCCAACAATGGCATCTCCTAGTAAGGTCTGCACGGGGTCGGGACCGCAAATGGCCACAGAATCGAGCTCAATGCATGGAACTGAGCTGACAAGAGAAGAGTCGGTGGCGCAGCACTTGGGAAGAGGAGGTTTGCCAGAGGACACACCTGATTTGATGCTAGAAGACACCTGTCTTGGGACAAGGTAGGTACTGGGTGTTGGTCGTCTAAGAGTCTATATATGTGTGTATATTTTTATATGAAAGCTTGTACCAGGTAGGTCTCTGTCCCTCTAGTTATTCTCCAGGAAGACGCCCGCGAGGATTACCTAGACTTAAGGGCAGGGCTGCTTTAGTGTGTTGAAGAGTATGTTGAAGTGGTCGGTAGAAGCTTGAAATGGATACCAAAAATCTATGAAGTGCTTCCCACCCCTGCATGTCCTGATGATTTGGCCACAGCTGCGGTTTCACAAGGGGCGAAGTGGGGCTTGTTGTGGTTGTTGACGGAAGCAATACGATAATTTTTTATTGGAAGGGGAGGAGAGCTGTGACAGTGGAAATTCTCGCTGGAGGTCCGCCGAAGGGAAAGCTGGAAGCCTTTTACGGCCCGCATAAGTCCATAGCAGTGCGGACGCCTTCTATGATAGTGCAGTCCGGCGCAGTTCGTATCCGTTTGTGATTCCTGCTCTCCTTGTTGACATCTTCCAGCTCGATAGATATGTGCAGGGGATGGAAGGCAAGCGGAAGTGGAGGAGGGGAGGGAGGTGCTTGCCATGGTGAGAGGTATACAGAAGACAGAAAGCAAGTGGAACGAGGGGTGAAGAAGGCAAAGTGTTCCGTAAAAAGGGTGTTGGGTGGGCTGAGCTATTGCCCCGTGTTGTCAGCAGATATGTGCATGGGATGGAAGGCAAGCGGAAGTGGAGGGGAGAGGGGAGGAGAAGGTAGGATCTATCGCTTTCTATCGGTCGAAACACTCAGGAGACAGAAAGAAGTGTTAAGGAGAGGAAGAGTAGCTGTAGTAGTAATAGTAGCAGTGGCAGCAGTTGTAGCAGCAGCAGCAGCAGCAGCAGTAGTAGTAGTAGTAGTAGTAGTAGTAGTAGTAGTAGTAGTAGTAGTAGCAGTAGTAGTAGTAGTAGTAGTAGTAGTAGTAGTAGTAGGAGGAGTGGGTCTTGGGCTTTTGGCGATACTCTGTGAAGTGCCCAAACGCTTGAAGTCGGTAGGATTTGACTGGTGATTGCGGGGTAGTTGTGCTTAGTATTTGTTCATTGCAGAATTGCTAGTTCAAGGGGGCAGTTTTGATGTGAATGAAGTGGGCGGAGACGGGAAGAGAGTAGTGAGTTTGGCGCCTGTTCTGTTGAGCCTCATCGATTTTAGTCAGTGTTTGTTGATTGCAGCATCACTATTTCAGGGGACATGTTCAATATGGCTGTGAAGTAAGGAAGGAGAGGAGGAGGACGGTGAAGTTTTTGCTTTTCTGTTGCACCTGGTTGATTGTACTCAGTATTTGTTGATTGCAGCATCGCTATTTCAAGGGAAGGGTTCGATATGACTCTGAAGTGAGAATGGAGAGGAGGAGAACATTGGGTGGGGTTTGACGCAAGCATTCTCATTCATGGATGGGTTCATTTCTCTTATCGCAAACAATTTGGGCTTTCATCGAACGGGAGCAATGAAGCTGTGGACACAGCATGACGTCAGATCATCTGCATCATCAGATCAGATCTTCATCATCAGATGTATGAGTGAGTTCGTTTGTTTTCAAACATGTGAGTACTGTGCCACTGACTGACTGTGTGAATTCCATTACGCTTTCGGCCTCACTCCACTACTTGCCAAATTTCCAAAATGCGAACGAATCTTCTGCTGAAACATGCAAAGATGCACCTCCATATTTTTTGTCTTTTGTGCATCGGTTCATTAGGGGAGCGAGGCCCTTTATCATACTACTCACTCATCAACTGTGTACAGCTTTCCTTTGAAAATACATTTGTTGGTAGACATTGCCAGTTTTAAACTTCTTTATGCATCTGATGGCCATCATGATGGGGACCATGCATCTGATGGGCAGATTTATGATGATAACCAGGAAAGTCCTCCTAGCTTTCATAATATCTGATTTCGAAACTGGGAAATTCTGCTAACGCACCTGGACCGACACCAGAGTTACCTTCCATGAACGTACCTAGACCGACACCAGAGTTACCTTCCATGAACGTACCTAGACCGACACCAGAGGTAGGGGGGGAAATTACTTGAACTTCAGTGGAGAGTTTTGTCGTCAGATTCCAGACCATGCAGACCAGTGTTTATCTTCTAGATGGTAATGATGATTGCAATGATGATGGTCACGGTGATAAATTGTTACTGATGATGGCTGTGTTCATGATGATGATGATGATGATGATGGAAAGGACGAGAAGGCAATTCCATCTGCTATACGAACACTGTGCTGGTGATGATGATGAGGAGGAAGAGGAGGAGGAGGAGGAGGAGGATGTGGACAGAATGGGATGATGATTAATTACATGTGCTGCTAGAAGAACAACAACATCAAGTTCAGTGTACAAAGAAGTGGTTCGAAGGTTTTCCAGCTTTGGTAAAAAAAAATTGTATTGCTTAGTTTGGCTGATGAGTTATGTTGTTGAACTCTCTTGGTCCAAATTTGACAAATTTGAAATTTGACCGTCTTTTTTTTTTTTTTTTTTTTTTTTTTTTTTAAGCCGG